ATAAAATTAACAAACTCACCGCATAAAATCAGTTATGACTCTCGCAAAACAGCACCGATTTTCAATGCGTCCACTCACAACATTTCTCTTGGCTCACTGAACAAGGACATAGACTGACATCGGCCTAGGATTAATGGAACCCACCGAACTAAAAAATGCGGCGTCTCTCCCGCCGCGGCATCTCTCCCGGATTTACCTTATTGGAATTGTCAATGAGGAAGTGAAAAAACAACAAAAATTTCAGGTAACGTAGAGGTCGGAATTCGAACACAGTATACTCTGTGTATCAGATGCGCTGCTATTCTTAGCAAAGACCAATGGAAATGAAGAATACTGTAATATCAGGCCACATATTTCTGTTTACTCCAAGTAAAGCTGATTTTCCTCATAAAGGGATTCAAATTGATACCAATGTTTGGATTAGTTTTATATTTCATTCTATGTAAAATAAAATAAATAATCGTCTGTAAATAAAATAAAGCATGTAAGATTTGAGGTTTTCACAGCGGTGAGTATGAAGATTTCTTGTCTTCTGGGTTGTTGGGCCGTGTAGTCTGGTAGATGTTTACCAACGTTTCGGAGGTCATACTGCGATGATTCATCGCCCTGATGACGGAGGCAGAATGACCTCCGAAACGTTGGTAAACATCTACCATAATACATGGCGCAACAACACAGAAGACAGAAATCTTCAAAATAAAGCATGTCTGTAAGAGCAGTAGTAGTAGAAGTTAGTAAACACAAGTTCACATAATTTCAAATCTTTATCTCCAACAGAATGTTATTGATTGAAATCGCATTCCAAAACGCGTCTCGTAACGATCACTTATTTTGCTATCCTACGGGAACGGATCAGCCATACAAAACCGATCGTCCCACAGGCATACTGATGGTTGTCAGGCGTAAGGTCCCTGGAGACCGTCTGGCATCAGTATTCCTTCTACTACTGTCACCATTAAAAAGCTTTCAGGGGAAACCCGGAACAATTATGGTGTAAATAACCAGCCCTATCATCACCAGAACTAACAATTTCCGTTAATATGAAGAACTGTATACATTCCAGAACCGTTCATATCTACTGCTATTCTCTAATCAAACAGTTATGTAGCTTTAAAGATTGCATTCTGGCGTGCGTCACGGCTAATAAAATACCACAACAAAATCATTTACTTTCAAAGGTTGAGTAGACCGTTTTTATGTATTAGATTTGCATATAGAAAGCAGCTATTCGCAACAAACCCTCGCCAACAGCAATATTTGGATTTATGTACCCGCAGTTTTAAATTGAACTGCTAATCCCAAATTTTCAATAACCAACAGTTGCATGTCTTCTGGCCTTGGCGAGACACAATCACATAGGCATGTACATGCCTATGTGATTATTAAGCGAAGTCATTTAGATCAATATTAACTGAATAAGAAGTATACTTTGTAGTCTCAACTGAGACGGAAATTGTTACAGAATATTCATGTTAAGGCTTTTATATATTTCTGCTTTCTAATCCTGTAAAGTCTGCACGCATTTCGAACATACTTATCGTTTTAGAAAATTTAGGCTGCAACATTTTTACTACTTATTTTGTATTGAAATATGCACGGATTTCAATTATGCAAGTCCGTAATGGAAGTTTACATATTTGAGGGCATTTTAACACTGTACTGAAGAAATATAAAGTACATTCAGCCAGCACTATATCAGACTGAATGAGTAAACACATGTACAGAAACAATTAATTAAGTCTTGAGAGCGGCCGTATGAAACGTCTAAACATCAACTGAATTCTGAATCTTAATCCGGTCTAATAGACTGACAGATGAAAATCTACAAACTGCCCACTTACCATGTTGTGTACCACAGATACAGAGCAGTAGTATGCGGTTAATGTCCACCCCACACTGCATTGTCCCACTTCACACCGAACCGAGCAACTACTGGCACTCACTGAGAAGAACTGAACTGCTAGCAGGTCGTAATGAACCCCCGCCAACCTTGTGCTACTATACTTGCCTGGAACGTCGCGACGCCAGGGCAGCGTCTCTTTCCAGCAGTTGGTATCACTGAGCCAGCCGTCCCAGGAAATGCTCGTAGGATCGACATACGCATCAATAAGACAGAATAAGTACGCTCGTACGTTCCGTTTTTTCTGCACAAAGTGCGTTCAATGAAAACGAGCCTAATGGGGGAGTTTTTCCCCGA